GGTAATATGAACCAGGGTACTATGGTATTAAGCAGTTGACCCAGAATTCTTTAGAAAGGTGGTAATATTTCTGTGCTTGATAATTGGAACACATTCCTTTCTCCTTTGTCATGCTTAATTTTTGTTTAAAAAGGTTAAAAGCAGTAAAGTATCTTTCTAATTTTTGCCTTACTTTAAGATTCTTTAGTCCAAGAGATTAATGTCTTTCATACTTTGATTTACCTGCTTTATTAAATCTGTTAGCTCAGATGCTTTGCTATCTTTATGACTTCATTCTTACTCATGATTCACTGTTACATGAAGTTAAGAGCCCTGAACTTCATACACTTAGCAGGGTCATTTAATTAGCTGTGGAAAGTTCACCAAGTGAACGTGGTTTTCTCACCAACTTGGGATAATTAGTTAAGGGGAAAAAAAAAATATGTGTGTGTGTGTGTGTGTGTGTGTGTGTATAATCATTTAATGCAGTGCGTAGCTTACCAGTAGTGGCTCCAAAAAACCAAATCCTTTCTTGTAGAGTTAATTCTCACTCACAGTGAACTCACGTGTTTTTGAGAGGAGTTACACTTCATCAGGTTGTCCTAGTCTATTTTATGATTTTATTTTTTTTGTTGTTGAAAATACACACAGGAAAGCATACACCAATATGACAGTTTCTACATGTATAATTCAGTAACATTAATGATGTTCTTTGAGTTGTGCAGCCATTTTCACCCTCCTTTACTTAAGTTGCTTGGTCCTATATGAATTTTGGTGGCCTGGTGGGTAAAGAATTGTGCTAGCAACCCAAAGGTACATGATTTGAATCTACCAGCTGCTCTGCAGGAGTAAGCTGAGCAGTATCCTCCTATGTTATTCACAGCCTCTGAAAATCCACTGGATGGTCAACGCGGAGTCATTTCTGCCTCAATAGCCAGAACAACAAAGAAAACCTGAAAACAAGAATATGTAACTAAATTGTCTAAAATAGTAGGCTAAAAGCTTAAAATACTACTTTTTTGTTGTTGAACTAAATTTCGGAAGAGTTCCAAGATAATTTTATGGAGAAATATAAACAACATAAAGAGTAAAGTGCTATGGAAACTGTTGTAGAAAAAGAAAAACTTGGAGAGCCCTGGTGGCCTAAGTAGTAAGAAGTTGCACTGTAATCCCAGAGGTACGTGGTTCGAATACACCAGATTCTCTGCTGGTGAAGGAGGAACAATCTCCTCCTGTACCAGTCAGATTCAGTTTGACAGTGTACACACACACACACACACACACACACACAGTAATAAAAAAAAGAAAGAAAAACTTAAAACAGGGAAGATAGGGCCATAACATTGGATACTGCCTTATGCATAAGAATCTGTGGCTAAGACTGTAGTGGTGGGTATTTGATATAGATTTGTTGAACTGACATAAATTGGCAAGTTTTTCACCTGAAGAGTTTATAGCTAGGGTTTTGGACTACTTCAGCCCTGGTCACTCATGACCGATGAAGTGCAATTGGAATGATCTGGGTTTTTTAACATGAGTGAGCTGGAATGATAACGAGACAGGAAGAATTACTAGTTGAAGCCCTGCTAGAAACATAGTCTCCCTTTTAGAAAACAAGGACAGCGGGGTATAGCCTGGCAACCAGATCTCTTGTCTAGCAAACAGTGGACTTTCAGTGTGCATTGTTCTCCATATTCTTGGCAGTCATTCAGTGTAATGACACATCAGGCTCTGAAAGAATTCACTTTATCCTTACAATTTCTCCATTCCAGTTCAGAGTTAGGAATTACCTGAAATCTAAAATGTTTTCTTGTTTTGCTTTGTCTTCCATGACTGAATTCATTCACACCGAGACGTTCACATCTGTTTGAAGCCCTGTTTATAACCACTGGTTCATGTGAGTGTATTACTAGTTGTTGTTGTTGTTACGTACCATCAAGTCAGAACAGAACCATAGCTGACCCTCCAGCATGTTTTCAGAGGCAGTTAATCACAAGAGAGGAAATTGCCCATCTTTCTCCTGCCAAGAAAGAGTTGGTGGATTCAAATCCCATACCTTTACATTAGCAGTGGTTTTTTTACCACTAACCTGCCAGAGCACCTAATACTAATCAGAGAAGTTTAAAAAAACAATCTATTTAAAGGCTCATGTGGAAAATTCTTGAACCTTAAGCTCTCTGGATAATATAAAGAAATAGACATTTGAGCCTATTTATTTATAGATACTTTGGTCATCTTTATTACAGTTGCTGTATGTAGTTATATTAAGTGCTATGAAGGATTTGTGTGTGTGAGAGAGATTTGAATGAAAGTTTACATTGTTTTTTTTTAATCCAATTGTTTGTGTCCACTTTGTTTTATAACGTTAATTATTAATTATAATACCTGGAATGTATTTGCACTTTTCCCACTTCTTTCCTTTAATTCTCATTACTATTAGTCCTTCTATCATACTTCTTCCTGCCTTTTGGGCTTTATCCTGGGTTAAATAATAATTGTTTTGGCCATATGTGACTGGTGATTCTAAGGAGTGACTGTTTCCCAATATTGTTCCTGGATAAACCTGTCTATTTGTCTGAGAGTTGAGGCATGATGGAATAAATGTTTTTTTCCCATGTTTGAAGGGTGACTAAGAACCATAGTTTCAGGGTTCTACTGGTCTCTGTCAGACAGTAAGCCTGGTCCTAATTTTCCTGGCACTTATGAATCAGGACCACTGACCAGGATCACCTCAGTGGCAATTGTTCTTGTCCATTTCATAATGTGTGCCATAAATTTGGTGTTGCCCATGTTCTTCTAAGAGCAGGAGACTCGAGACCACAAACCCTGCACAACAGCCATATATACTTAATTTTCTGAGAACTGTGGCTTTTTGAAAGAGCAGACGTTTCCCGTTCAAGATCAGATTTGGATGGAATATCTGAACTAAACTGTTGGCTTTGCTTGCACTGAGTCTTCTAGTTTATCCTATAAGGTACAAACTGGTGGTGTACTTTTCTTTTTTCTTTATTTTTCTCTCTCTTGTTGTGTACTGTTGAATCGGCTCTGACTGGCACAGGAAGAGATTGCCCCTCCTTCTCCAGCACAGCATCTGGTAGATTCAAGCCACACGCCTTTGGGATCTGGTTGTACTTGTTGAGAAATAATTACAGTTTTTCAGGGAGCAAGATGCTTGTTTGGAAAGGAGAACTTAATACTTGTAATTCTAACTTTTAGGTCTGTATATAGTCTCTTGAAATAGGCACTTCACAGAGGACCTAATAACATGGGTAGATTGTCAGTGTTGCCAGTATGGGCTTCTTCTCTGTAGGACTTTAGGCACCAGTCTGAAAAGTAATTTAGGTGAAACTTGAGGAGACCATTCATTAAAGTATCTGTACTCTGTGAATTCCACTGGGCATATTGTTATCAGAGGAATTAATGACTATGTCATATCTTTTTCTCTCAGAATTTTTCAGCACAGTCAATTGTAAAAGCAACCTCCTACCCAAAGGGGAGGGAAAAACCCCCAACAAACCCCAAGTCACCAGAATTAAACAAACAGAAAAACCAAAACAATAAAAAACCCCTCTTGATTTCTCTTGAATTTGTGTCTCGAAATTTTCAGCGGTTGTATCCTATAAGTAATCATCTAGTGCTGATAAAAGGTGCTAGATATAGATGACGTTGATAACCTTTATATTTACTTGAAATGAGCTAATTCCATGCATTAATATCATATACAGTCTATACCAACCCCCCCCCCCAAATAAAAATTTGAAAGAGTGGTGACAAGATAGGAATGCCACTTTACATCACATTTTTACTTGGCATGCTTTAATTAAGTAAACAAAAGACAAACCCTCTGTTGTCTAGTTGATTCTGACTCATGCATGTTAACCCTCTATTGAGTTTTGGAGGCTGTAAGGATTTTTTAAAATTTAATTTATTATTTTTGTGTGTGTACCATCAAATCAGATCTGACTGGTACAGGAAGGAGGAGACTGCCCCTCCCTCTCCAGCAGAGCATGTGGTGGATTTGAACTGTGCAACTCCGGGATTGCAGTGCAGCTTCTTGCCACTAGGCCTCGAGAACTCCTGGAGGCTGTAAATTTTAATGGGAATAGACTGCCTCATCTTTTTCAGAGCAGCTGGTGAGTCCTAACTGTAGACTGCCTCATCTTTTTCAGAGCAGCTGGTGAGTCCTAACTGCTAACCTTTAGGTAACAGCCCAGCACTTGATCTACTATACTTCCAGAGCTCCTTCTTAGGACTGCACAGATTGAAGGCTTTTTCCGCCTGGAAACCAATGTAGTAAGAGTGAAAGTTCTCCTCCAAACCTTGCCCTGATGGTTGGGAGCATGGCAAGCATCACTTAAGATGAGATGAACAGTTTCCTCCTCTGGTTCGGCCCCTGGCCTCTCTGCTGAGCTCATCTTCCACAGGGCCCATTAATATGTCTGGTTGGTAATAGCATATGGTTTCCCTTTCCCATTGCTTATTACTGGAAGACCCAGAGTTCGTTTTAATTACATAATGCTCACATGATAGTAATACTCGATTTTAAAATCCACATTTTATATGTAGCCCTTTTACCTAGATGGATTACTTCCAGAAGATGAGTATAAGTGGAAAGTGACTCCCATTATCCTTGTTGCTCGTGTTAATTAGTATTCCTTTGCATGGAGCTGTCCTGGGAGCTCCCCATCCAAGAAGATGAAAGCCATGTTACTACATTTTCTAATTAGCAGGAAAGCAAGTGGCTGTTTGTGATAGTCTTGAGGAAATCAATAGACTGGAAAACTAGGGCAGATGATTCAGTCTCTGTTTCTCTGAACTCTATCTGAGGGCACCTGTCAAGGTATTGAAAGAGAATAGGCATAGTCAGGTTCTAGACTAGAGGGAGTTGGCTGGCCCAAGCTCCACACTGTACCCTGTGTCACTCGGAGATGACTAGAAGGAGTAACTGAGAAAAAGACTAAAGACGTTTTCTTTTGCAGCTGCAGCTGTGATCCTCGGCTGTCCGTCGGCATTGAAGAGACCTGATGTTTTACGTTATTGGTGAGTTGTGGCAAGAATTGTCTTTATTACCTTTTTGTTAGAGTTGCTTACGTCCTTTTTCTGATCTCCCAGCCTACCTCCCCGTTTTCCTTGAAAACAGAAGGAGAAATACTTCCCTTCATGCCAGAATATACCACCACAGAGTTGGCAGTGGAGTTCATTCATTTGGGAAATATTTATTGAGTAATTGTTGTCAGTGCCAGACACTGTTTACTGTTAAGTCGAAGTTGAATAAAGGAAAAATCTGCCTTCCAGGAGTTCCTAACATGAAGAGTTGCTGATCAGATAAAAAGAGGAAAGTCAGATATATGTACAGGAGTCTAAGAGACCCCTGAAGAGGAAACTCCTAACTGGTGGAGGACTGGCAAGGGCTTTATGGGAGATTTGCTGCTTAAAGTGAGACTTGAAGGATGAGGTGCAGGTGCCAAGTGGACAAGGGAGGGAATGCGTCCAAATGGTGGGAACAGATTGCACATTCTTTCTGCTATCAGTGTTAAGACCTAGCACGGCGGAGGTGGAAGAGTTACGGGGGAGCTACATTATGTGTTGTCCATGGCGTGGAATGAAGGTTAGCAAACTTTTACGACAGGGTGAGCTTGGAAAAATTTCTGGGACCATATGGTGTCAGTTAACCGTTGTACAGCTCTCATTGCAGTGCAGAAGCCGCCATAGGCAGGGTGTAAATGAGTGGGAGTGCCTGTGTTCCAGTAAAATTGTGTATAGAACCAAGTGCTGGAATTGATCCAAAGGTGTAGTTACTGACCCTGAGTGTAGAGGTTCCCTTTACACCCATAGACGGGATAGTGACACTAGGTGGGCCATGTGCCTTTGAAGTCGTACAATCTCCCCCTGATGATCTTTTAAGTTTTGAAAGATGGCTAGTCTATTCCATAATGAGAAGTTTCTTTTAGTAATTCACAACTATAAAGAGTAACTGGCAGATGGTGTGTGTATTCTCTCTTTTACTTAGGTGGAATGACAGTGTCTGTGGTTGCATTCTTCTTCACAATTAAGTTCCTCTTTGAGCTTGCCGCACGTGTAGTCAGCTTCCTCCAGAATGAGGACCGTGAGCGTCGAGGGGACCGGACTATTTATGACTACGTGCGGGGCAATTACCTGGATCCCTGGTCCTGCACAGTCTCCTGGGATTGGAAGGACCCCTATGAGGTGGGCCACAGCATGGCCTTCCGAGTGCATGTAAGGGACTGTTTCTGTCTTCATACCCACTGGGCTTTCTGAGTCACTTGCTTTGCAGAGCCCGTTTAGACTTGTTGGTAGTGTTGACCTAGAATGTTAACATTTTCCTGGTCTTTTCCTCTCCCAGGAATTTGGAAATGAGTTAATATGTGAAGAGTCAGGACTCTGTCTGTCATTATGGTTTATTAATAAACACTTAGTTTTGAAGAAGTATGAAGCTTAATATTA